CAACCTGCCCCTCCAGCACCCACCTCCGTCCAGGTCCTGATCTGTGAGGTGCCCCAAAAGCCCCGCTTGTCTCCACACGCCTTCTTGCGCCTAAGGGGGAAAGGCAGGCACAGTGATCCTGCTTCCGGGTCTCGTTCAAAGGGAATCCAGGGGAGGAGCTCTTTGCTCTCCTTCATAGCTCTATGTTTCTCCCCTTCCCCTCCTGCATGAATGGGGGATTGCAGAAATAATGGGGGGTAGGGTTGTGTAGCTGGAGGCGAAGAAGTGGCTTTCCCCCTTGACCCAGAGTACTGCTGAGCCCAAGGCCGGTCCTTAAGGAAACTGAGGTGACTCTGTGATCATCCCTTCCTGTGTGGAGGAACAAAGGTTTGGCTACGAGGGCGGAGTAACAATCTGGCAAGACCTATGGCTCACGTGCCAGCAGAAAGGGCTCTGCGTGCCATAGATTCACCATCACTGCTATATAGGTAGGCCACCACCACAAGAGAGAGAGGTCATCTTCTTCAGCAGAAGAACGAAAGATTTCAGCTCTTGCTCATAGAGGCCTCAGCAAGGTAAAAATCACAGGTACAGGGGAGTCCTGGGTCCAACAGACTGTGTTAGCTATAATCTGCGGTTTTCACTATTTGCAGGCAGGCTTGGAATTGATCCTCCATGGATACAGGGGTCCTACTGTATATACAGTCTATTTCCATATTTTCAGCTTGTAGTTTATATCCCCAAGCTCAAATATTGGCTATTCTCAACGTATGCCAATCATTCTCTACTTTTATAATAACATCTTCCTCAGCTATCATTTCATACCTTGAAAATACAATAATTGTTACTATTAATATGTAAGTTTAAAATGCAACATTAAGAAAAATGGAAGTTAAAATTGGTATACTTTACATCAATATTTCGAATGATGACGCATTTCCCATTTGTATACAGGAAGTTGTTGCCTTTTGGATCTTCCCCGATGATTTTAGAGACACCCCTTTCAACCTGTGGGAGGCTTGCAAATACTTTTTCTGTGGGGGGGGAACCCAACAACGAAACAAAAAAACAGAAAAAGTAGACAGAAATATTAGTAATTATCTTAGTCCTCTAGGGGAGCAGCACTATAAGATACATTTAACTTTGGGCTGAAATTAAAGGAAGAAAACAGAAGGCTTCAGATCGTCGCATTTCTGATCTTCCCTATGCCGTTATTTACATGAAAACCTAAACACCACCACCCTTTCGACCCTCACTTTAAATGTTGTTGATTGTTAACGAAAACGGCGGAATCACTCTACAACCTTCCTACTTCCAAAAGTACTTGCCTTTGGAAGTAGAAAATAGCTGCACTTTGACTTTCCTAAAGCAGCGCATAAACTCTGTCCTATCAACTCCCCTTTGCGCCTCCTTCCCGAATCTGCAAAAAAACCATCTATACAAAGCAAAAAAGGCGGCACAGAAGCATGCTCCAGTGACAGGCGGACGAGGAAAGCCTCCCTGTGGCCATGGGAGACGCTCCTCTTCCTCCTCCGCTACCACCGTTTCCTTGTAATAGCAGATGCTGCAGTACTATATTCACGCAACTATATTCCCCTTCCGTTCTTTCAGGAGACCCACTCGCCATACTTACTCAGCTCGTAAGGCATCTTCTCCCTCACTTGTAGCTACTGTTACTGCTTATCTGCAGCAAATATTACAACGGAAGGGCCACAGGAAAAAAAAACCCACAACCCAATTCACTGGCTTGCAAATTTCCTCCTGCAGCACCAGAGACGTCAACTCCCAGCTGCACAAACCAGGAAGCGCCCGCTCGCACCACTTTTTTTCCCCGAGATCTCCCCCTGGCTTTGACCATATATAGTAAACTCTCGCTCGAGCCGCGCGCGTAGCAGGAGCGGCTTCTTGCCGAACAGCCGCCCTCTACTGCGCCTACCGCCCGCCTTTCCCGGAAATGCTGCCAAAAAGAGGGCCAAAGCCCAGCAAACCCCGCCTCAAAGCACGAATAGGGCAGCTTTTCGGCTCTGCGCACTCCCCCTCCTTTGTCGTCAGGACGCACATGTACGTAGCCTGACCGAGTAAAGGAAGGAAAAATAGAAGCAAATGAAGGATGCGTAACCTGAATTTCCGGAGTCAATGAACTACTTCCGTATTCCGGACGGAAGTAACAGTTTGCGCGTAGAAACCGAAGAAGAAATAGAGGACTCAATTGTAATTGTGGATGGGTAATAAATTTGTTCTGTACCAGCACAAAGATAGGAGCAAAGCCAGACTGTCCTGAATTTTTAAAACGTTGGTCTTTGGAGGCATTATACAAGATATTTGAACCTTAAATATGCATCGGGTTAGTGCCTACAGTAGTTGGACACAACAGTATAGGAAGCCTGCGCATGCAACTAAGCGTTAGATTTGGTTAAGAAGCGTGAATTTGAGAAGATCTGGTGGGCGATTTGAAGTGACTGAACTTCACTGTATCCTGGAGCCTGTCAAGTGTTTTGTATGGAGGTTTTTCATTTTAAAACTGAACTACCCCCAGCAATAACTCTCACCTGAAGAATTAACAAAATAAATTATATAGTGAGGCTGGTTTGTAATATACTCATTCTCAGTAGCTGTACCACTCACTGCACAAGGATTTTGCAGATGCCAAATCTGAAGGGGAGATTGGTCGTGGTTGGTGCAGTAAATGTAATTCTGCAAACAGAATCTTCACTGCTACGTCTTCCTAAAGATTCAGAGACAGCATAGGATTACAGAACACATCCAAATTAAAATGGTTTGAAATCCAGTTCCCAAGACATGCTTTTAGTTGACCAATATCATGCAGCCCATATTTGGATTTAATCTTCCTTTTTTGCCTTTATTTGGCCTATTAGTAACGTTCAGGAGTGTTGACAGGTTTTCTGGAGTCAACTAACAAAAAGCAATAGAACTGAATGCCATCAGCATATTTATGGCTCTTATTCCAGAATTCTGGGTAACCTCTCCCAAATGTATTAAATTACATAGGGACCAGGACAAGTTGCCAGGGATGTGGAAAGCCAACAGTCATGGAGCTTAACATTAGTGCCCTAGCACCACCTTCTAGACTTCTCCAGAAATAAATGATCAGAACCATTGCAATACTTTCCTTAAAGCAAGCCAGTATATCAAAAACCACCAATGAGGCTGCATTTCACCCATGTATTTACTAGTGTAGGCTATTCAAGGAAGAATCTCAGTCTCATATCCCATCCAGGGTTCAATTAATAAATTTATATTCCACCTTTCTCCTACCACCAGGACTGAAAAATCCAAATGACATGGGTCCAGCAAATTGGTATTGCTGAAATTTGTCTGGTTTTGGTGAGATGAGTGCTTAAATCACCATGTCAAAAATGGAATGTTTGAGACTTCTGTTAGCTTGCTGCATAAAGAACACTCAAAACTTCAAAGGAAATGTGTTTTTTTAAATTTTATTTTGTATGTTTACATGTAAATTATTACAAGTGATATGTTGAAAATTTATCCCAAGAGAATATTGTTCTCAGTCAACTTGGCAGGGAAAAATCCTTTTTGAAATAAGTTTAGAGTAGAAGAAACTTCATAGAAATTATCATAAGTTCACAATTCTTGTATTTAACATATCCCTGTATATCTTGACTTTCATCACACAATAATCTCTGTGGCAGTTGGATGTCTGCCCAGCCAACTTCTAATGCTCAAATTAAAGAAGGTTAAATAGGATAGCTCCATCCACAGGGCTTTTTCAGTTCAGGATGTGTGAGCAGTTATGAAAGCTGCAGAGGGATGATGGTGTGTTTTTGATGGAACTGTGTTAAAGTCAGTTTCCAATGTGTTTATATGTCCCTTGTACAATTGCACCATGGTATCCAGAAATTGTACTTGTTGAGTGAACTGGTCCAAACTCAGTTGAAAAAAGGATGAAAATTATTGAAGTCCTTGTGAAATTTCTTTGATTGCTTTTAACAAGTCTGGAGGATAAAGATGGCATTGATGAATTTCAGACAGAGGAAAAATTTCTGGTACAGGAACTGTGGAAGCTTTGTTCTAGCTCAGCCATGAATATATTTCCATCCCGTGGAGCCATACATGTGCCAATTGCTGCGCCACGGTTCTGGAGATACATGTTATCTATTGCCAAATATGAAATAGTTATGTGTGAGATCAAAGTCACATGGCAGCCAAACTCAACTTAGTTGTATTTAGGATTGTATTTTTAAAGATGTCTGAGAAATATTAACCTAAAGTGCATTTACATCCATTGTGGCCACAATGGTGTCCTCTAGCAGGATGTGGATGGATTTAAAGAAGTTGGTAGTATCTCTTAGGTGGCTAGGTGTGTCACAGGCATATCAAATGAGGATAAGGTCCGTATATCCAAACACTCCCAGGGATTATGGTACCAATACTCAATACAACAGGCTGTCCAAGGTTACTCTGATTGTATATTTTGGGAAGAAGGTAAAAAGAGCCTGTCTGCGGTTCTTAATATTTTAGGATTTGGTCATGGATGCCTCCAGGCAATCAATTCAAAAGGTATATTAAATTTATCATAAATAATTAATAGTAGAGGGTGCTGTGTAACAACTAAATACAGTGGTGCCTCGTATAACGAGCGCACCGTTGAACGATGAATCCGCATTGCGGTGCGGATTTCCCCATGGCTAATGCGAGGGCATGCTCACATCACGATGGGGGAACAGCTGTTCAGCGGTTCCAAAATGGCTGTGGGAACACAAAAAATAGGTGCCGGTACACCCAAGATGGCCGCTGGGACTCTCAAAATGGCCGCTGGTACAACCAAGATGGCCACCAGAACACAAAATGGCTGCCGGTACACCCAAGATGGCCGCCGGAACACAAAAATGGGTACTGGTTTACCCAAAACGGTCGCCGGGACACTCAAAATGGCCGCCGGTACACCCAAGATGGCTGCCGGAACAAGGGAAAACATTGGAGAACGGTGAGTTTTGGGCCCATTTGGAACGCATTAAACTTTGTTTAATGAGTTCCAATGGGTTTTTTGGATCCGTATTGAAAACATGAAGTACCTTTCAGCTATTTAACTGTCATACACCAAGCTGTAACATATTAGCCCCCTGGGCATAATTTGTGAAGAATCCATATAGAACTAAACCTTCACCTTCACCTAAAGAATGGTAAACAATGTCTCTGAGTTTCAGCTATTTCCCACACACAGGGCTATTATTTACTTCTTTTTTAACAGACAAAATATGGCTGGGTGGTGGTGGTGGAATTTTCTAAGCCTTTTCTAAAAGACAACATTACTGATTCCTATAGCAATTCATAAAAAGCAAAAGAGCATATTCCATTTCTCACTTTCTTATTCCAATACATAACAAGCATTCCCATTGTTCATAAAAATCCATCTGTTTATGTCATCAGCCATCAAGTGGCTTATGCTAACCCTGTGAATTACTGACCTTCAACATATCTTACAAACTCGTGGCTGTGGCTTCCTTTATTCATAGGATCATAGAATAGTGAACTTGGAAGGGACCTATAAGGCAATTAAGTCCACCCTTCTGCTCGATGCAGGCATCCAAATCAAAGGATATCTGCCAGGTGGTTGTCTAGGTTTCTCTTGAAAGCCTCCAGTGTTGGAGTACTTGCCACCTCTCGAGGTAATTGGTTCCACTGTTGCACTGCTTATAACAGTTTTTCCTGATATTCAGTCGAAATCTGACTTCCTGTAACTTGAGCCCATTGTTATGTGCACTCTGGGATGAACGAGAACAGATCCTGACCCTCCTCTGAATGATGGCCTTTCAAGCACTTGAAAAATGTTATTATATCACCCTTCTGTCTTCTTTTCTCAAGGCTAAACATGCTAAATTCTTTCAGTCTTTCCTCCTAGGGCTTGGTTTCGAGCCCCTGACCATCCTTATTGCCCTCCTCTGAACTTGTTCCAGTTGTCAGCATTCTTCTTGAAGTGTGGTGTCCAGAACTGAACACAATACTCAAGGTGGGGCCTACACCCCACAAGACTTGCCATTTTGGAGATGCTGTGACCTAGCTGTCTAGCCATCACTATTTGGCTCTTGTCAAAGTCACTTGGATCTTTTTGCTTGCCCATATTTCCTACTTCCAACACATGAAATTCAAGAACTGACTGTTCACTTGCTGCCTAATATATTGCACACCTTTGCAGGTACAATTATATAATCAATGCTATTACCGTATTTTTTGCTCCATATGACGCACTTCCCCCCCCCAAATAGAGGGGGAGAAAGTATGTGCGTCTTATGGAGTAAATAGTTTTTTAAAAAGGGTTCAGCCACCACCCCCCAGAAGCCTCCCACTGCCATGCTGGGAGGCCTCTGAACTGGCACCAGAGACTGCTTGTTGTTTGGACCTCACCATTCTGCACTGCTGGCTTTCCAGGATCTGTTTCCTGCAGCCTACCTGGAAAACCAGCAAGGCCAATAGCAATAGGCAATGAAAATAGGCAAGGACCAAAGGGAAAAAAAAAGAATGATTTTAGAAAAACCAGGAGAAACCAGAAACACAGTTCCCCACTTAGGCAGTTGATTTTCCCATATTTGGGGAAATCATAAGGGTCAGCACATCCAAAGTGCAATAAATGAGCCTTATCCCAGGAAAACCACTTTTACAATAATGGTATCTCC